CGTTGAGAAGGTCGGGTTGTAACACTTTTTTATGTATAAGGGCGTGTGGGATGTGTCTTTCAATGTATGTTTGTGTGTTTATGTGTATGTGTATGTATACTAGCTCTTTGGTTGTTTGTCTGTTTATTTATATGTCTGTGTGGGGAGGGTGGATGGCGGGGATAGGTAGGTAGGCAGAGAGAGAGAGAGAGAGAGAGAGAGAGAGAGAGAGAGAGAGAGAGAGAGAGAGAGAGAGAGAGAGAGAGAGAGAGAGAGAGAGAGAGAGAGGGAGAGAGAGAGAGGGAGAGAGAGATATATATGTATCTATGTATATATACATACCACTGCGACGATTGCGATTTGCGAAGTTCTAGCTTCGCCCGGGCCTTCGGCTATGGCCCGAATACCGCTGCACTGTGGAAAGCACAAGCTGAACGCTACCCCCCCCCCCTCTCCCCCCGACGACATAAACCCTCGGGCTGTTGCCATGTGCCATCTGCTCCCCAAGCCAGACTCTCCTTGGTAATATTTCTCTTATGTAAATGCAAACTGAGCCCTGTTATTCTCTTCTAGTGTGGCCGAGGGCAGGGCAGGTCATTTTAGAGTTTCCAAAAGGTCGGGTCATAAGACATAAAAAAGTGGAATGGTTTTACCTGATCTTGCCTTTACGTAACTCGATTTTAGGCTTAATTTACCTAAGCTAAAGTGCAGTGACTTTATTAACAATATCCGAGAGTGATATTAAATTCCTTGGCTTAGATTCTTTGCAATTAGCACCCTCTTACATTATAATGACGCTAAAACGGAATGTCTTTGTATAACGTAAATATTTTCTTTATTTTCTCGGTATTCCAAGTTTCCCTGAATCATTTTACCTTGCCTGAAATATATTAATATCTTGCTCCCTTCCTCCACTTCACTCATTCTTTCAAGACTTTAATATTCCTAAATTGATGAACATAAAAAGACGCTTCTTTATTTTTATCTATTCATTCATTTTAAAGTTTTTGACCAATATCGTTCCCCAAAATCCCTAAAAGTAAAATAAAATATTAAAAACCGTCCGACAGATGATCAAACGTGTCATGCATCAACTTTGCTGTCATATTATAGCTTAAAAATTATTGAAAGACCAAAGCTAGGATCCCATCAGTGCCTTTGAATTTTGCAGTATGTGTTTACCGAACTGTGTTGCTGTTCAATCAATTCACTAAAAGGTCTTATTCCAAAGAAATTTATATTTTAATTCCTAATAAATGAACATTCGTAACACTCCTACACGAACATTCTTATTCTTATTTAATGAACAATTTTATTCACATTTAATGAACATTTTTATTTCTACTTATTCCTGCTAAAAGAACAATTTGATTCACATTTAATGAACACATTTATATCTAATGAATGAATCTTCCTATTCCTAATAAATGATCATTCTTATTGAACATTTCTATTCCTGTTATTTTGTTCTTAGTCATCTCAATGTGATCAAGATTCAGTGTTTTGTGTTTATGCATCTGTTTGCTTGTCTTTATTTACTTATTAATGATCCTGATGTCATATGGGAAGAGTCAACAAAGAAAAGGAATAAAGGAAAGAGAAGAGAGATGAAACAGAGACAGACAAAGAGACAGAGAGAGAGAGAGACAGACAGACAGACAAACAGACAGACAGAGAAAGGGAGGGGTTCGTCCAAAAACTGAAAAATAAATAAATAAATAAAAATGAATTAAACAGATGGATAAGTAAGCAAGAATAATGCATAAAGAGAATCAAAACGAATCAACAAAATACAAAAACACAAAGTTTAGATAAAAGAAAAATTCAAACATACACACACACACACACACACACACACACACACACACACACACACACACACACACACACACACACACACACACACACACACACACATATAAACACACACACACACACACATAAACACACACACACACCCACACACACACACACACACACACACATAAACACACACACACACACACACACACACACACACACACACACACACACACACACACACACATAAACACACACACACACACACACACACACACACACACACACACACACACACACACACACACACACACATAAACACACACACAGACACACACACATACACAAAAGTATAGCCACTCCCGAAGAAATTTCCCGTCACCACATAAAAAAAAAAAAAAAAAAAAATTCTTATATATATATATTTATTGTTATTATTATTATTATCATTATTATTATTATTATCATTATTATTATTATTATCATTATTATCATTATTATCATTATTATTATTATTGTTATTATTATTATTATCATTATTATTATTATTGTTATTATTATTATTATCATTATTATTATTATTATTGTTATTATTATTATTATCATTATTATTATTATTATTGTTATTATTATTATTATTGTTATTATTATTATTATTATCATTATTATTATTATTATTATCATTATTATTATTATTATTATCATTATTATTATTATTATCATTATTATTATTATTATCATTATTATTGTTATTATAATCGATATCATTATTATCATCATCTTTATTATTATTATTATTATTATTATTATTATTATCATCATCATTATTATTATCATTATTATTATTACCGTTACTATGAATATTATTATTACAATTATTATTATTATTACCATTATCAATAGTATAGTATTAATGTATACATCTATTTATTGTTATCATTATTTCTATTGATATTGTTGTACATAATTTTCAATTTTATGGCAATTCTTCTTTTTTTTTATCACGGTACAAATATAAATCTGCGTATAACGTTAGCGTAATTACATCAATACCTAATCTTTTTCATCTTCTAACTAAATACAACTCCAGTCGGACGGACTTAGTTTTGAAAAGTCCAACAGGCTAAATCTCAGTTAAGAAAAGAAAAACAATTATCAATTACAATTCATATATATAAAGTCACTTTTCACGTTTAACTCACCGTCTGTGGCGATCCTATTCCCTTCACTATTTCCTTTTAAACTTGCTTCTTTGTCGCCCAGCAATTAATTGAATGTGATCCAATTATGAGGGAAATCTCTCTGGATTAATGAAGTGAAGAGAATGCTAGATTTTACGGTCAGAGCAAGCCATTCATCACGAATCGGATAATAATGAAATATCTGTGTTAAATTGTTTGGTAAAGTCGTTTTGTGTGATTAGGTTTAATGTCAAAAGTGAGATTATGGTTCAGTTGTTTAGGTTTTGTTTCATTCGTAAAAGATGGAAACAAGCACGTGTATACGCATGGACGCATGTACGCACGCACGCACACACTCACACACACACACACACACACACACGCACACACACACACACACACACACACACACACACACACACACACACTAACAAACAAACACACCCAAACAAACACACGCACACATACACAAACAAACACACCCGAACACACACACACACACACATAAACACAAACAAAACACCCAAACACAAAAACACACACACACACTGGAACTAACTCATAATCACGTATACTGAATAATAACCAAAACACCACAAAGATTATTAAAACAAATACTGCTTAATTGCCTCAAAACCTCGATAATTAGTCAAACAAATCCAGAAACACATGTTAATTAGCATATATTGCGCGGTTTTGATATATTGTTAAATTTAGAGTTAAAATGGTGGATTTATGACGTCACCAATCACTTTTTAGGTAATGCATTCTTAAAATTCACATGCACGAAATATAGGAAATTATACGCTACAAAATAGTAAAAAAAAAGAAAGTAAAGAGGTAACACGCAGTAACTTCTCTTCTTAGAATTCTGTTTATGCACATCAAAATACTTTGGAACTTCCTCTCAATCAAACAGAACTTCAGAGTACAGAGAATCATGGACAAGATCCCAATAGATTTATGACAACAACAGGCTGGAGAGTGTGTGTCCTCCCCCCCTCCTCCTCCCTCTCTCCCCTATCCCCTCCCCGCGCCACAGCTTGCCTTCACTAACTTGTTAAGGCAAGTCACAGAACCGAAAAAAAAAAAAAAAAAAAATGAAAAAGGGAATAAAAAATACTTTTAGAAATATAGGAGTGATGAGATATTGTTGTTATTCCGTTGAAAACAAAGAACCCCAGATTTTAAATTATACGCATGCAACAGGTTTACTGTGTAATACACCGTGCATATTAACGGATAATCTGATATAAACGGACGTATAAATAGTAGATAATGAATCCTGTTGTTCCACCGTATTTATAAAGGACCAGCCCCTCTCTATTCTATTACTGGATGTTAAAGTCCCAGGCTGTATTTGATATAATTAAACCTTGCATGATCTATAGTGTAATTACGCGTGAGTTAAGAATAGGGTTGGGGTTTAAGGGTGAGTGGAGTGTGAGATAAGGTACGAAATATGGGCCATATGGCTTTAACCTTTCCTCTTAAGTGGTATATACTTACCTTCTCCATGTTACTGAAAGCTGGATATATATATTTTTTTCAAAATCAATATTTCAGATCGATTTTAAGAGCAGTATGTTCATCAAAAAACAAAATCTTGTTTACTAATATCTCAGATCAAAATTGTGGTAAGTAAAGACTACACCATCGTAGGTCAGGTGTTAAATATTCATAATCATTGTTTTACGAAAGCTTCTCATTAATTATCTCGTTAGTGTTCCGATAGTGACTTTGATAGGCCTATCTGCAGGTTGGGTCAAGGTTTATAGGCCTTGACATGACTGTCCCTTCCTCTTGCTGAGTCATGTTGCAGGTTGAGACTATATTATTGATATATAATAATAAATATATTATAGTATGCGATTTATAGTATGTGTTTTTTTTTTTATCTATCTATCTATCTATCTATCTATAAAGAATTATCTATATTAGAGGACCATATGTATGAGTATCATTCATAACCAACAATAATCAAAGCACACCTACCGCTGTTTGCAATGTGTAATAACAATATGTTTCTTTGTGTTGCAGGTTCGGCGTCGGAGAGTCAGAGAGAGAAAACCACAAAATGTACGAAGTTCCGGAAAGCTATATTCTCAAAGACGACCAGAAAGGTACGATATTTTTATTGCCGACTTATAACTCTCTTTTCTGTGTCTCTGGTTCTGTCTGTCTGTCTTTGTTTCTGTGTCTGTTTCTCACTTTCTCTTCCTGCCTCTGTCTGTCTATTTGTCTCTCTCCCTCCCTTTCTCTGTCTGTCTGTCTGACTGTCTGACTGTCTCTCTCTCTCTCTCTCTCTCTCTCTCTCTCTCTCTCTCTCTCTCTCTCTCTCTCTCTCTCTCTCTCTCTCTCTCTCTCTCTCTCTCTGTGTGAGAGAGAGAGAGAGTCTATTTCTCACTCTCTCTTCCTGCCTCTGTCTGTCTATGTGTCTCTCTCCCTCCCTTTCTCTGTCTGTCTGTTTGTCTGTCTGTCTGTCTGTCTCTCTCTCTGTCTCTTTGTCTGTCTCTGTTTCTGTATCTGTCTCTCTCTGCCTCTGTCTACCTGTGTCTCTCTCTCTGACTCTCTGTCTCTCACTGTTTCTGTATATGTCTCTCTCTGCCTCTGTCCGCCTCTTTCTGTCTGTCACTATTTCTGTATGTCTCTCTCTGCCTCTGTCCGTTTCTGTCTGTCTGTCTGTCTGCCCCCCCTCTGTCTGTCTGTCTGCCCCCATTCCCCTCTGTCTGTCTGTCTGTCACAAAGAGAGGGGAGGAGAGACGAATAAGAAAATAAACAGTGAAAGGGAAAAGAAAAGAGACAAAGACAGAGTAAAAAAAAAAAAGAAGAAAGGAGACAAACAGGAAAACAAAGACACAAAAAACAAAGAAAGAAAAAAAAAGAAACAGAAAACAAACAAACAAAACAAACAAACAAAAAAGCCACAGTGACAAAAACAAACAAAGACACCAATAACTCTGCCTGGTGACGTGACACACTCATATCAGAAAATTGGTGTCAATGGTCGAAAGAGCAAATAAGATTCCGTGTGTAAGTAAAAAGTGACATGAACATGATGTCATTTTCTCCCCCTTTAACAATGTTGTCATTATCAATGGTGTCACGAGAAGGGGGCAGTTCTGAAATGATTTCTTTTCTTGCATTTTTGTTTGTTTGTTTGATAATGATGATAGTAATGATGGTGACGGTAAATCTCGGTGATGGTGATTGTGATAGTGATAGTGGCTGTAATGAGGCATTGTTAATCATAATAATAATGATAACAATAGCCATAATAATGATAATGATGATAATAATCATGATGAAAAAATAATAATGATCATAGCAATGATTATGATAATAATGATGATGAAGACTATGAGGATGATGATGATGATGATGATGATGATAATAGTACTAATGACAATAATGATAATGATAATAAGATATAATAATGATGATTGTGATAAAAATATAATTATAATGACAATAGTAATAGTAATAATAACAATGATAACAATGATAATAATGATAATAATAATGATGATAATAATAAGAATAATGATAATATTGATGATAATGATAATAATAATAATGAAGATGATGATTATGATAATAGTTAGAAAAATAATAATAATTAGAATAATGATAATAATTGTGATAATGATAACAATAACAACAACAATGACAATGATAAAATAGTAACAAGAGAACGATAATGAAGATATTAATGATAAAGATAATCACAATATAATGAGAAGGCTTGCGATAGCTATTATCACTGTAATTGTTATTGACATACGATAGCGAGATCTCTGTGTCAGTTCAAATAAATCTCTAAGAATTTTAATGAAGTAATTACCACAACTGATTCTGATTCGTTTATAGAGAAGATTAAGTTTGAAATAGTTTGGAATTAACGGAACATATATACTAGCACTTGATTATGCCCTATAAATATGGGGAAAATTATCATGTAATTTCGCGTGGACTAAACCATGCATTCGACGTTGGAATTAATCTGTTATTTAGTATTGTTCATAAATCCATTGTATATTGTTAGTTCCATTCCCATTCCCATTCCCATTCCAGTTCCCGTTTCTGTTCAAGGAAAGGTTAACTTTAACTTTCAATTTCACTTTGATATTGCACGGACCCCGCTGTTATATTCAGTTTAATGAAACAGGCACATGGATATAACCTTTATTATTATTTTTTTTATTTTTAATATTTTTTCAGTCTATTATTTACCTCAAAAAATGTATTCAGTTGAAAATTCTGCTTTTCGTTTTACGTAATGAGATTGAATGAAAGCATATGATTGCAATGAAAAGCCGTGTCTTATCAGCCTTTGCACAGAAATTCTTTTTGCTTTCACATGATAATTAATTCATATCTCGTTGGCTGTTTGTCTTCCCGCAATGTTATCCAAGTTATTGTCGCCTTTGTGATTGATGTTGACATTCGTCTTATTAGATTACACTTTAGAAGTCTCATATCGGTTTTTATTATGTAGTGATTTTATATTCCAATTCCTGCGGTATATTCACAAAGTCTTTTTTTTCTGCGCAAATATCACATCGTTGGTATTGTGCCGACTAAAATGAACAGTTCCTGGATATTGATATTTTCATTTTTCAAACCTGAATGTCGCATTTTTTTTCGGCCAAGTAAATATAACTCTGAAACATAATATTAAAGGAAGATGTGATACTGAATGGAATAGAGAGCTTTGACTGATGGCCGACATTCCGTACGTCAAGATTTCAGGAAAAGGACCGAGAGGGAGAGGGAGAAGGGGAGGGAGAGGAAGACGGAGAGGTAGAAGGAAAAGGAGGAGAAGGAGAGGGGGAAGAAGACAAAGAGGGAGAGGAA